GTTTTGTAAAAATCGACGCGTTTCAAAAAGGCGGGGCATAGAGGAGAAACAATAATGTACAGTATGTGGAAAATAATGTGTTTTTTTAACTTTAAACCGCATAAACACATTTCATTACACCAAATACACAAAATAATGTTCTTTTTAGCAGCATCATATGACCCCTTTAAGGTTGTATAATATGGTCATGCAGAATATGTGCTTTTTAAGTACTAATAAACAGCCAATATGCTAGTAATATGCTTGCTAATAAGCAACTAGTTAATAGTGAGAATTGGTCCGTATACTTAATTGTTGCTAGAATGAATTATCCAGATTAGACAAATAAAATATTTTTATTTATTATTAGACAACTTGATTCAGAAGAAATCTTGAGAAGAGGAGAAAGGCAGAGAAGTTCAGCTGCTTCTTGTAAGATGTGATGCTCTCAGCAGTCATGCTGTTGGTGGTCTTGGCACTTCATTCCACCAGAGAGGAACAGAGAGGGTGAAGGTTTTGGAGATTGACTGTTTCAGTAGCAGTCCTGAAAGCCAGTGTCAAAGCCTTGAATTTGGTAGAGCTGGGAACCAGTGGAGTGAGAGCAGGAGGGGTGTGACTGAATTCTCTTTATCTAATTGAAAACCAGACATGCTGCCACGTTCTGGATCATCTGCTGAGGCATAGTTGGGCTGGTTAGAAGGCCCTCCAGTAGTTTTTTTTTTTTTTTTTTAAGCAAGGGCTTTATTTTGATTGTTTATTTTAAAAATCCATTTTATTATAAATTTTTATGATTTAACTATTCATTTGCTTTTCATCAACACCCTACCTACTTTGCTAACCCTAGTGATTTTGGACTTTATACTGACACCTATTGGTGTGGATGAATGGTCAAAGGTTGTTAGTTACCAATGCCAAGCACATTTCTGCACATTTCTCCTGTTGAAGAAAGAAATACAAAATCTTTTCAGTTCGCTTGCTTTGGTCAGTTGGGTATACATTAAAACACATGTTCTACTGAGCCCTGCACAAACATGTAATCCTGTATAGATCATGCCCACTGAGAACTAGCAGGGGTCCTCGCTAATGACTTCTGCTTTCTTTCTTGCTTTTCTTTTTATGTTTTCTAGGACATGCATATCGTGAGCACAGATCAAGGTCAGGTTTTCACCGCCGTCCAGGAGTGGAACCAGAATGATACCTACAACCTGTACATATCTGACACACGTGGGGTTTACTTCACCTTGGCCCTGGAAAACGTCAGGACCAGCCGTGGTCTCGGAGGCAACAGCATGATCGACCTTTACGAGGCATAACTTCATCACTAACTTGTTAACAAGCTAACATTAGCCTTCAAGGCTTCATGCTAGATGCTCATTACTCCTCAGACTGCATTAGAATTCATGTCAGACGCTACTTCTCGCCCTAGCACTCAAGCATAGCCCACATTATCTTAAGCCTCTGGGGAATTAGCAAGCGTAAATGAATGATAGCATTGAAGACAGAGAGATAAATTGAGTTGTAGTTAAATGTTGTCAGTGGGGGGATAGAGGAGGGAGATTGCTGATTCAAAGGGAACTGCTCGTGTTTTGTGTATGACTCCTTCTATAAAGGGATCCTATCACAAGGAATGAAGTTTCCCTTGATCTTTCAAGATAAAAGAGTTAATTGTATCATGAAGACATTTCGTAACTTGTTTCCCTCTGGAAAATGTAGCTCAAGTTTAGCTGTGTTTTGGAGCTTGATAACCGGTTTTATAGCGGGGCTTAAGCTTGGTTAAGAAAAACTGGTACTTCAGAAAAGAACAATCCTCAAAAAAAAAAAAAAATAATAATAATTTTGAAATTGCTCTAAAGCACACTTTTTATTATGCCTATTCAATAATTTGGAGGGGGTTTTTTTTGTTTTAAAGGTCTAAACAAGCTTGGGAGTCTTTATTATAGGCACACGCATCAGTCTTAAAGGGACAGTTCACCCAAAAATGAAAATGTGATGTTTATCTGCTTACCCCCAGGGCATCCAAGATGTAGGTGACTTTGTTTCTTCAGTAGAACACAAACAAAGATTTTTAAGTCAAACCGTTGCAGTCTGTCAGTCTTATAATGCAAGTGGATGGGAATCACAGCTTTGAGAGTCAAAAAACATACACAAACAAAACCAAATTAAACCCTGCGGCTCGTGACGATACATTGATGTGTAAAGACACGAAACGATCGGTCTGTGCAAGAAACTGAACAGTATTTATATCGTTTTTTACCTCTGATTTTCACCGCAATGTCCGAACTGTCCTGGGCGCATTTGCATCTTCTTCTTCAGCCGGCACGTGATGCGTCTTCTTCTTCTTCTTGCTTTACGGTGGATCGTAGACTTATAAGTGCATTACCGCCACCTATCTCTCATGTGGACCATTGACACTCCTAATCGAGATTGTAGATAGAGTGTCAATGGTCCATTTGAGAGATAGGTGGCGGTAATGCACTTATAAGTCTGCGATCCGCCGTAAAGCAAGAAGAAGAAGAAGACGAGTCAGGCGCCGGCTGTTGAACGCGCTCAGGATGCGCTCTAGACAGTTCGGACATTGCGGTGAAAATCAGAGGTAAAAAACTATATAAATACTTTTCAGTTTCTTGCACAGACCGATCGTTTCGTGTCTTTACACATCAATGTATCGTCACGAGCCGCAGGGTTTAATTTGGTTTTGTTTGTGTATGTTTTTTGACTCTCAAAGCTGTGATTCCCATCCACTTGCATTATAAGAATGACAGACTGCAACGGTTTGACTTAAAAATCTTTGTCTGTGTTCTACTGAAGAAACAAAGTCACCTACATCTTGGATGCCCTCAGGGTAAGCAGATAAACATAACATTTTCATTTTTGGGTGAACTATCCCTTTAAGGACTTACTGGAGACTTTTTCGAGAGAAAAAAGTCTTATTGGAGACTCGCCTATGAGAGAAAGAACTCTTATAAAAGCCAATACAAGAAAAGAACATATGACAAGTGAGACTAAATGAAAGGAAGTGCCTTTCTCTCTATCAATTTCTCCTGTTGTCTCTCTTCCTCAGTTCTTTAAACACCTCTCAGTGTTAGTCTGCATTATACTTCTTTTGGGTCAGTGGCATTGTTCTGCTTTCTTCTTTTAATAAGAATATTAGACTAGGATTTTTTTTTTTTATCTTATACCAAGTATGAAGTACTAAAGTGAAGTATATTTGTTTTCAGGAATATTTGGGTATATCTATATATTAATATTGATTTACATTTAATTTAAATATGTTTTTTAAGCTTTAACAGGAAAAAAAACACGCTGAGTGGTCTAACAAAGTAATGAAAGTGTACAGTGCACATTAAGTTTAATCTTATATAGATAGATAGATAGATAGATAGATAGATAGAGATACATGAATTTTCCATAAAATCACTACTCAACAGTCTACCACAATCAATACTATTTTGTGAGGATGAATCCCCACAAGAAAACTTAAGTATCGGAAGTATCAGTGTCTCAAGATCGATCCGCCTGTCTGTGGCCAGAACTCTCACACTGCATGTAGTTTTTCTGTAAGAATAGATTTGCCAATTGAGTTCAAGGAAACCATTCCTCCTTCATGACAGTAAGACATTACTATCGGAATATGGTCATTCTCAGCATATACTATAACATATTGCTTTAAAATTAGCAGCCTGTACCAAGCACAAAAAAATTGAGGAATGAAACATTTGCTTCCCTTGTCCAGGCGGCTAAAAATAGTCTCCATTAGTGAGTGCAAGCAAGGATGGTTTCATTAATGCATTGGTTATGATGCATCTCCCCACTTCTGTGCCAAGGCTGGCTCAAAGCACACTCACCCTGCCAATACTGAATCAGCAGTCCATCCATATCTCTAATAGATTGCAGCAGCCTTCATTAATGCTTATTGAAAACTGGCTTTTTTCACTGAAGCTCCAGTTGGAGCCTAAGATGCGACTTGTGACTGGACGTTTGTCATATTTATCTGCCTATTGATCAGCGAGAAGTGGGGTTGTTTTACTTTTATATATTTTTATAACGGCAATGATAGATAATGCATATTGTGGTTCTGGCACTCTGTGCGCACACTTCTTTGGTATTGGCATCAGCGGCGTGCTGCCATGTGTGCAAAGGATGCACACTGCTTACCTTGGAAACACTAGTGTTTAAATATACACTACCGTTTAGAAGTTTGGGGTTAGTGTTTTTTTTTTCCACATTAATACTTTTATTCAGCAATTTTTTTTTTTTTATTTGATCAAAAGTGACAGTAAAGACTGTTACATTACAAAAATTGTATTTCCAATACTGTTCTTTTGAACTTTCTATTCAAATTCCCAAAAAATAAAATAAAATCATGATTTCCACAAAAATATTAAGCAGCACAACTACTTTTTTTGTTTGATAATAATACGAATAATAAGAAATGTTTCTTGAGGAGCAAATCAGCATATTAGAATGATTTCTAAAGATCATGTTACACTTAATACTGGAGTAATGATGCTGAAAATTCAGAAAATTCAGCTTTAAAATCAGAGGAATAAATTACATTTTTAACATATATTAAAATAGAATACACTTATTGTACATGTAATAATATTTTACAATATTACAGTTTTACTGTCTTTTTATTACAGTTTTTACTGTCATCACAAGAACAAATTAAATAAAAAATATGTTAAATAACATTAATGTAAAAAGTATGCAAAATAATAATATTTTACAATATTGCAGTTTTATTTATTTATTTATTGATCAGATAAATGCAGCATTTTATCTTTCCAAAACATTAAACAAATCTTAAATAAATAAATAAACTATCTGCACACTTTTTGAACGGCAGCGTACAATGGACACAAAGGGTTTATGGACAATTAAAAATATATGAATGCTTTACACTACATATCAGACTAAGAGGCATAAAAATAAGTTATGCTGATTTTTTTTTTTTTTTCATAGCCATTTTTATTTTTACCAACTGGTCTAAAAGTTTATTATAAGTGGTGGATGTAGAAAGTCAATTCCCAAAGTTGCCTATGGTGGTTTGCTATTTGTTTTTCCTCCCAGTTGAAAACTCTAGCATTGCTGGTCACCAGCATATGATGCACTCCAAATGGCTTCTTAAATAGTTTAAACAGCAAGACCTTCTTGGTCATTTTGCTCTTGTTTTAAACAGAAGTAATTCAGGCTAAAGATCTTTGCATTGTTTGTTCAGTTGCTCTTTTGATTGTTTGCACAGTGCTGAACACATAGTCCTGAAGAATTAATTGTAAACACGAATGAACAGCTGATCCGCTCACTGAAGTATGACCCGATTTGCAGAGCATGCTGAATATGAACCGCTCTACCACAGCCAGTACATCCATCTTCTTCCGGGAGAACATTGGAATGGAGAGATGGAAGCTAAAGGATAATAAATAATTACCGCTGTGATTGACACGTCTGGCCAGCGAAGGACGGGACCTCATTAGTCGTGTCCATCCAATGCGGCTCCGTCACTGTGACACTGTCAAATGCAGTCCCTATTAGTGCCACTTACAGACTCGGACCCTGCCTTAGAGCATGCTTCACTAGCGGGGCATGATTTAAAATGGGTCGCTAGCACCACTGTCACGATTCAATATTGCTAAGTTTGGGCTTGTTTTAAGCTGAGGATGAGCAGCCTGGCACTGGCTTAGATGCTTGTCAGTTAGAGTAATACCTTGAAATTGTCTGGAGCATGTCAGCTAGCTTCGGCTATCACGGAGTGGGCGCTAGTGTCTGTGTAATTAAGAGACGTTAGTAGATGACAGTCCGAAGCACCTTAACGGCGAATGTAGATGTTCATGTTAATATTTGTATTGTATTTCTTCCCCCTTGTTCCCAGGTAGCAGGGATTGAAGGTATGCTCATCGCTAACAGGAAGGTGGAGAACCAGGTGAAGACGTACATTACTTACAACAAGGGCCGAGACTGGAGGCTTTTGCAGGCGCCCACTACTGACCTGGCAGGAAATCCGATTCATTGTGTGCTGGTAAGAAATGAGAGAGAGAAATAAAGGCATGTTTTGGATTTTTTTATTTTATTTTATTTTATTTTATTTTTAGTGAGTGAACTATCCCTTTAACTTGGTCAGTGTGTTATGTTAATCATTACTAAAATGCAATTATTTTATTTTATTTTATTATGACAATTTTTTATTACATATCAATTTTGTGGGTAAACTATTGATTAGTGATTGGAATAGGAATGAAATAGAAATCATTTAAACTTGGTCTGTTTCTTATTATTGTTAAACATTACTAAAATATTTACAATTATTTTATTTTATTATTATTATCATTATTTGTTTTAAATATAAAGGAATAGTTCACCCATTAATAAACATAAGATAACATATAGCATATAACATAGCATAACATAACATATAACATATATAACATAACATATAGTATAATAAAATAAAATAATTACAAGTATTTGTAAGTTAAACATTACCTTGGTCAGTTTGTTATTCATGTTAATCATTACTAAAATAACAGCATTTTTATTTATTATTTCATTTTTTTTATTACTTTATTTTATGGGTCAGCTTGTTATTTGTGGGAACACAAAATAAATACTGTCTATTAACTGTCTAATTCTTTAAAGGTAATATTCTTTCTCCAATGGATTTGATTAAAGGCAACAGACTCTGTAATGCATAATCAGAAATGATATTGATCTACTCAAATAATAACTTTTATATTATTTGTAAATGGCAAGTAGTTTCAGGGTATTGACATGCATAGGTTATCATTAATATTTAGTAGCTGTATAATGTTTAGATGCAAAAGAAAAAAAAATAGTCAAGGCCAAAGAAACATACACAGAAAGCTCCAGCATGACTGAAGAGCCTTGAATCCGAGTTGACTGTAATAGTCCTCTGCTTTGACACTCTCATTAGCCTCCTATAATCCTTACGATTACCGACTCGAAATCCTGTTGCCTTTGCCGTCCACATAATAATGTCAAGCCATCCATTGAGTGGATGAAAAGGACAATTTGTGGTGCATGGAGAGCAGATGTAATTCTTGTTTTGTTATGTTGGAGGCCCCAGGAGAGTTGCTTCTCTGTTTTAATGTCAAATCCCTGTCTTTTGCCGGTAATGACTGTAAAAGGCAATTAGTGTTCACGGTAAGGTTAGCGGTCTCAACAGAGGGCACTCCAAACATGATTATATTGCCTTATTTGTCCTTGTTTTTTTTTTGTTTTTTTTTGTGGAAACCACAGTCGATATGTTATTATTATTCATTTGAGCTCTTCAAGTTGTTATCTTTTTAGTGTTAGATAAATGAGTACGTGATACCCACTATTGCACTCGGTAATAAAACATCACACCTGCCCTTTATTACAAAACCAAACACGCACTTCTACAAGTCATGGCTTGAGGCTGTATAAATTTGAAAACACTGAAGCTACATGTTATTTCTGAATATTTACTAACTCGGACCACTCAGCTGGAAGCTTGAGGCTACAATTTAGCAAGAGTAAAATGAAATCAAAACCTGCTTTATTTGGAAATGGTAATACAAATTGGTATAAATTTAACTCTGCGCCAATAGTATTATAAATGTATGATGTGCACTACCATTCAAAAGTTCGATTCAGGATTTGTTAAATGGTTTTCAAGGAATTATCTTGTGTTCACCAAGGCTGCATTTATTTGATCAAAAATACAGTAAAACAGTAATATTGTGAAATTTTATAGCTGTTTTCTATTTGAATATATTTTAAAATTTAATTTATTCCTGTGATGCAAAGCTGAATTTTCAGCATTATTACTCCAGTCTTCAGTCACATGATCCTTCAGAAATCATTCTAATATGTTGATTTGCTGCTCAAGAACCTTTATTATTATTATCAATGTTGAAAGTAGCTATGCTGCATAATATATATTTTTTTTAATCTGTGATATTTTTTTTTCTTCAGGATTCTTCGATGAACAGAAAGTTCAAAACAACAGCATTTATTTGAAATAGATTTTTATTTTATATTGTTTTGTTTTGTTTTTCAATAAATTAGAAAGTTTTTACTGTCGCCTGTCACTTTTGATCAATTTAAGGAATAAAGTTTTTTTTTTGTTTTGTTTTTGTTTCATTCATTCATTCATTCATTCATTAAGTATTCATTCATTAAGCAAACAAACACGGTAGCAAGCAAGCTGGCCCCAAACTTTTGAATGGAATAGAGTAAAGAAAACTGCACATACATTATAGAAACAAAAGATTATTTAAATTAGACAGCCAGTGTAGGCTTTTTAAAAGTCAAAACACATTAAATAGCTACTTTGTTTCATTTCTGATTCTGACAAAAAATAAAAATAAAGTAGACAGATTTTTATTTCCTTTTGAACTTCCACGGAATTTTCATTATCGAGTAAACAATTGCTATTACAATTAAATGGCTGTACCTCGTGATAAAAACTTAAATAGAGCATCTGTCAATTGAAGGCGCGACGTGCCACTGGCTGCTTCCAGCGCAGACAGCTGATCCTAATGAGCATGATTTAGTTTTGGCGAGTCAACGCCACACCATGGTGTTATGTTGCTTTCCAATTCAGGAAATCAATTTCCTACTTTGAAAAGTATAATAGAACACCATCTAAACTTGAAAACTGCAAGTGCAAAAATTCATCAAGACATTATGTAGCTTTTTGGCAGATGTACACTGTTAATGCACCAAACATCATAAGCAAACAGGATACATCAAAAAGTCAGAGTTGCTACGTTATGTGATAAAAAATGTTTGCAGATGTTTGCAAACGTGCAGAGACAGGTGTGATCCTTTATGTTGATAACTGTGCATCTACAGAACACATTAAAGCAATGTTTATTCTCTGTAATTTTGTTGCCAGGTCATTTCTTTGTTGATAGTCGAACACCTGCTAAGCTAAGATTACTACTGGCATTTAGTTTTGTTTTGTATCATTTGGCCTTTATGGTCTAAAATAAGACATTTCAGGTTGGAATACTCTACATCTGAATGTGAATGAAACAGAATTATTCCCACAACAGCTATAATTTCCTAAATTCTGTTTGTGTTGCCTTGATAAGCGTAGCATCTCATGCAGCGTTTTCTTCTATCATCCATTAACTTGATTGGCTGAGTTTGCTTTCTAGATTTATCGTCTTGATTTTCCTGAGCTGTGTTATTTTGTTTACATGCAGATCTCCGACCACAAGATTAACCGTATCCGGTATGCAATAGATCACATAGTATTATCCATGTTTCATGACAGTGAATTATGGGAGTTGTTTCTGTATTATGAATTGTGTAATATTAAGCATAAAGTCGCCTACGTTATGGCCAACACAGCAGCACTCGTGCACTTATTGTCTTAGACTTTCTCATGCCTGCGGGATCACATCGGCTTGTTTTGATTGACAGCTACATTATAGCTCTGTTGTGGCTAATGGAGGATGTGTCACTTTCTCTCTGCTCAGCCGTTTTGCTCGCTGCACCTACAACTGCAGATGTCAGAGAACCCATACCTCTCAGGCTCCATCTCCACCAAGAGCTCAGCGCCGGGAGTCATCGTGGCTATAGGTAAATGGTAAACCTGAGCAGCATGTGTGGGACTGGGATGTTCGGCTGCTGTTGGGTGTGTTGGCATGTTTATAAGAAACTTAAACATTGCTTGTTACGTCAGGCTAGGACACTTTCACTCCAGAGCATTTGCTGCGGACCCTCCCGTTTGTTTGCAGACAGCATTTGGTCCGTTTAGTTGGTGTGAAAGTGAATTTTTGCACCAATTGAAAATGTAATTTGGAGTACGACTTGGCTTGTTTATAAACAAATCACTCTAAATCACTAATGCCGGCCAACGAGTTGGTGTTTTTTCAATGTATGCTTCAGACACGGGTCATGACGAGGCGTTCCCCATAGCGACCCCTAGAGGACGCAGTTCGAAGTTCCCATGAAAGGGAACTTTTGAATAGATAGTTCACCTGAAAATTAAAAATATTTACTCACCCTCATGTCGTCGAAAACCAGTATGACTTTCTGTCTTCTCTGGAACACGAAATAAGCTACTTTGAAAAATGTGGAAGTCAGTGGAAGTCAATTGAAGTCAATGGTGAACAAAACTGTTTGGCTACCAACATACTCCAAAATGCCTGCTTTTGTGTTCGGAAGAAAAAATTCATTTTTTGGGATGACATGAGGGTGAGTAAATTATGACATAATTTTCATTTTTAGGTGAACTATCTCTAATGTAGGCCTATACAGTAATTTGCATCTTATAAAAGGTATAAAAGATCCCAAACTTTTGAACGATATAATATTTGGAATGTTGTTTTTTTTTGTTTGTTTTTTAGTCTATATTCTTATTCTTATATAAAGGGGGTTTTGAGTTGTAATATCGTCATGTGACCGTGTGCTCCACCTAATAGGTCCCTTTTTCTAGATATACTCTGTATTCATGAATGTTGTAAAATTAAAACGTTTTGAAATAGCAACTTGTTTTAAATATAAGGAAGTTCTTTGAACATGAACAGCTCTCACATTTCACATTCCCAGTGGGTTTGCTGTTAAAGTTGTCACTAATTTCTCACAGGCAACTCAAGGACATACAATCACTTCCCCTCAGTTCATTGTGACCGTCTTAGAACAGGGCAACAGCACACAGCAGAGGCGACTGTGGGTGGGTTTACGCTAGTCATGATGTTTGCGTGTGTGGACATAAAACAACACAACACTGTCTACAGTACACAATAGCAGAACTGCAAATATGTAGCACTCATACCTAACCTTTCTCTTGTTCTCTCTTCTGTAATTCAGAGTCATTAGAGAAAAAAAATATTGCTCAGAAATTTCTATTTTAATACTTCATTTAAGTAACTTTGACCTAAAATGCACAAAATGAAACAATTGTTGGCATAGAGTAAAAGTATGGAAATATAAAATGAGTATGGTAGCATAGCTCAGATCATTTGGTCTTGGATGAGGAATTTGATGAGAAGTGTTTGAGTTCATACTGTGGCACTTGATTTTTAATTTCAGACTTTTGTGTCTTGGCAATTTTGAACACAGTGTGAGACATTATCAAGATTTTTTATTATTTTTTTTTGGGTCCAATATGATTGTGTATCAGGATTGTGGGCTCATGAACATGCCAGTCAGAACTGGGTGTGTTTGTATGAATGTTGTGAGAATATTGAGCAGGAATTGAGCAAATATTGAACCATGCTGTCTGACCTCAATTACAAAAGCTGCTTATTCAAGTACAAATACATATTTGTTGATTTATGAATTTTGAATGTGCTATGCTGGTGTTCGACATTGTTTCATTATTTAACGCAAATATTTTTGGGATTTGGTTCGTTTTCCAGGGAATATTGGCTCTGAGCTGTCTTACAATAATGTGGCGATGTTCATTTCATCAGACGCAGGCAATAACTGGAGACAGGTATGGCTGGTTCACACTGGTTCATACTTCCCATTTAGCCACTTGTTAGCAACAACATTCTTTCATGTAAAATCACAGATGGTTTTTAATTGTGTATTTTATGTCATAGAATAAAATGCGAAAATATCTTGAGTTTGTGTTAAACACAAACCTTATTTCAGGCATTATACCAAAAACCCATTTAAAAAAAAAACATTGGACGATGGAACCGGAAGAGCTAAAATGCTAACTATGGCTGGGTTTTGACCTACAAAAATAGTTCATTGCTGCAGCACTCTATTGCAAAACCAGAAAGCTTAAACCAGAGTACAAAAAAACTAGAAAAACTACCGTATGATTGTGAGAAAGGTAGTCAAATTTGTATACAAAAGTTCCTTTTTGAGCCTATTTGTGCAATAAGATGAAAATAACCCCATGTTGTTCTTCCCATGATGCAGATTTTTGAGGAAGAGCACAACGTGTGGTTTTTGGACAAAGGTGGAGCTTTGGTTGCCGTGAAGCAGCCCACTGTGCCCACTAGACATCTTTGGTAGGTGAAAATAAGCTGGTTTCTGCCAGGTTTATTCATGCTGGTTTAGCGAAATTCCTGCTTCAGTTACTTTGGTTGGCACTCTATCTGTCTGACAGGGTTGGTTCTGTACTATTAAGACCATTGAGAGAAAAAAAATAAATCGCACCACAAGAACAAAAATCACAGGACACGAAGGCTGCCAAATAACAGATTGGAATCAGTTTTTACGTGGTGCACTATGGGAAGTGTTCCATATTAAAGCTTCCCACTTATCCCCCTGAGTTCACACATTGGTTCCTTCTTCAAATTGGCCCTCCCTGGTTTTGCTTCAGTGATGTTTAATCCTCCAGAGTCTTAAATCTTTTCTCTCTTATCACTCGAAGAGTTTGGCTTTAGTTTTAGGCCCACTGAAGTGTGGCACCTTCATTTTTTAGTTCTCTTAAACAACTCAAGCGAGACAGTAAGTGGAGTCACAACTGTGGAGGGCAGTTGTGTAATTTCCTGCAAGTATGACTTCAAATAACAGCCTTGACTGTATGTCTCTTAATGGATACATGTCAACACTAACTCCGACTGTTGCTTTTAGCAGACCGGAGACAACTTGGAAGCAGTGCCATTGTGCATCGTTGCTTGCAACCTTGTCACACGTGCTACCCTACTGTTTGCACCTGTGAAATGATGTTGATAAAGTGTCATGACCAGACTTTCAGGAAGAAAGTTTTCCAGCTTTTACTTGCTTCTGTTCCCTCCCACATTTATAGACGTTAAGATCTTGAAACATGGCTATTTTCTATTTTCATTTGCACATCTCGATGTCTTCTGCAGGATCAGCTTTGATGAAGGTCGTCAGTGGACGCGTCACAGTTTTTCAGCCATGCCGCTGTTTGTGGATGGTGTTCTGGTGGAGGCAGGTGCAGAAAATCAGATCATGACGTAAGTCTATAGAAGTTTGTTTTTGACCATCTTTCTCTCACACAAGCACACTGTCTGTGCATCCTCATTATGTCCTTTTTATTACAGAAGAATAGATTCCTCTGAGCTCTGAAAAATGGCTTGTTCAAGAGATACACTCATGAGGAAAGGTTAATTAACCAGACTCTTAAGCTAATGTTGTTAGTCTCAGTAAAGCAACAACACTTCTCATTATGTCTCAGTGCTGGTATATAGAATAACAGGGTCGTATCGTACTTTTTAATTATTACTTTAAACACACATTAATGCATAAGACAGGACTGAAATTAGCAGATTTATAGTTAAAAATAAACTAGCTAACAGTGGGATCTGCATAAGGATCTGCAGAGCTGTAGGTGCTACACACAGACAGAAACAGCTCAAGTTTCGTCAAACTCTCACACATTTATTTCTTTATTTATGTATTTCTTTATTTATTTTCTTATTCTGCTGTTTATGAATCTATCTGTCTGTTTTATTATTACTTTAGTTTATTCACTCACTTACTATTCCCTTCATAGTAACACTATATGGAGAAAGAGTGAATACATCTGTGAGTAAATTGAGAGTGAGTAAATTTGTGCTCTTTATTCAAATTCAAACTCTTCTTAATCTGGGAAATAATAATGGTGACAGTAACATTAACTTCACTTTGTAAATATATGAGTATTGTCCGATTAGTGGTTTCATTGTCTTTTTAAGAATCATATTTAAAATGTATTGTGTGTGTGTGTGTGGTTCAGGTATACCCTACATTATGGGAAAAATGCCCCCACAAAGATGGCAATATCCCAAATCATTGTCCTTGTGGGGAAAACAGCTTATAAATCATACAGAATTAAGTTTTTTGAAAATCTAAAATAGCAGAAAGCTTTAAGAGAGGAGTAGGTTTAGGGGTAGGGTTAAAGTAAGGGGATAGAAAATACAGTTTCTACAGTATAAAAATCATTACATCTATGGAATGTCCCAATAAAACATGGAAACCCAACATGTGTGTGTGTTATCCAATTTAGTCAAGAAACTATACTATATCAGAGTTAATTTTTAAAAGAATGAGCTACATTGGGCATTCAATTGTTCTCTCTGAATTCAGATAATGCTACTAACCCCATATTGTCAATTAGGAGAGAGCAATTTCATAGCTGATGAAGTAACCCAGGATTGCTCAGCTCGGCCTCTGGAGATGTGCCTTTTGCAAAGTTTAATTCCAATGCACACACGTCTGGACCAGCTAATGAAGGTGGAGTATGAGAATTAAACATTTCTTTGTCAATTGGCAGGTTTTTCGGACACTTCAGTCATCGTTCTGAATGGCAACTTATCAAAATTGACTACAAGTCCATATTCACCAGAAGGTGCACAGAGGGAGACTACCAAACCTGGCACCTGCATAACCAGGTAAAATAAAACAACACCGCTTGAAACACAATTTCTGAATTGGTAATATAGGTTGCAACTGAGTTAGATGTTATTTTCTTAGGGTGAGCCGTGCATAATGGGTCAAAAGCAGATCTACATGAAACGTCGTCCCGGAAATTACTGCATGGTGGGATGGGACAACTCCAGGATCCTGTCTGCAGAACCCTGCATCTGCAGAGCACACGACTTTGAATGGTGAGTGAACAGCGTACTGAACTAAATGAACCCAACTTAAGATCCACCCACTGATCCAACAGCTCCATCAGTGATTTCCTACAGGTATATCTTTTCTCGTGCTTCTGGAAGAATTGTCTTAAACGGTTTAATTTACTTTAGACAGACTGTGTTATTAATTTGATCTGACTCCAATTAAAGAAGGTCTCAAATGTAGACTGATTCTAATTATATGCTGATCATCATTTTAGATGTGATCCAAATTTAGATATTTGATTATTATTACGGGTATGCATATACATTCGCTTTTCTTGTCCCGATCTCACAAACTGGCTAGTCTGAACATACAGTAATCAGAGGTTGCAACTAATGCCATTAACTTATTACAAAATAGTATAGCCATAAATGAATACTTTTATTCAGCAAGGATGCATTAAATTGATCGAAAGTGACAGTAAAGAAATTTATAATGTTACAAAATATTTATATTTCAAATGTTTCTTGAGCAGTAAATAAGCATATTAGAAGGATTTCTAAAGGATCATCAGACTGGAAAAATGATGCTGAAAATTCAGCTTTGCATTCAAAGAAATAAATACATTTTTAAAATACAATAAAATAGAAAACAATTATTTTAAATTGTAACATTATTTCATAATATATTTGTTTTTACTGCATTTTTTGAATAAATAAATGCAGCTTTGGTGAGCAGAAGATACTTATGCTTATAACATAACATTTTCTCGGCCTCAAACTTTTGACATGATACTTTTATTTTATCAGTGTAAACCAGTTCATAAATGCTTTATACACAAAAGCAGATATTCATTTGTTGAGTCAATATATTGAACCGTTCAAACAGAGCAAGACGTCAAACTCCTGCAAACATAAAGTGTGGTCTAGATTTTCTTCTGCTGTGCTGTGCAGTTTTGCTGTTTTGTGTCCTAGTCTTTTCTTTAGGTGGGATCACAGATATTTTATAAATCTGCACAGCCTTTGTGTTCTGTTCACTGGCGATCCAGAAGCTGTTTTCAAAGATCTCAGAATAGACAAAGTGCTTCTACACCAGTGCACTGGTTAACCCCCTCTGTAGGGTCAGTGTTGGTGGGAAAGGTGCTTTTTTGAGGATCAAGATGCATGATTCAGACAGTCTCTGGACATTAAAGCTTTTAAAGGCCGCAGGGCTGAGAGAGAAAGAGAAGATTGAGATTCTTTCTCATCATAGTCTGTTGTTGTCTGTCTGGAGGTTCTTTTAAAGTATACTGTATATAAATACCTTGGGATCTATCATCATGTATCACATTCGCAGACCAAGTGTTTTATCTTATTCCAACAATGCACAGAGTATCCTTACTTTGTCTTTAATGTTTGGTCTTGTTTTGCAGCAAACAGTACAGTTAAAAATCTTAGCATGCTTTCAGATATGTGTTAATTTGTCTTCTCTATGTGCAAGCAGTCCCCAGGATGTTTCTTGAGTTTTATTGTGTGTCTTTAATTTACCCAGTACTTTGATTCTAATGATATATTTTTTCATTAAACAATCCTTTCTGCAAAATATCAAAGGAAAGGACCCCTTACAAGGACCCTCCTAAAATTTGAAGATAGCTGATTTTTTTTTCACGGAAAAGGAAACATTTTTGCTGTATGAGAAATGTAGTATGTTGAGATATTATGAGAACATTCTGTTTGCAAATTAAATAGCTTTAGTTTTAGTTTGTCTTTAGATAAAAATATATTTTATTTATTTATTTTTTTCCCCAGAAGTATGTGAATAAACCTTTCAGCAGGGTGTATTACTTCTATCATTTTTTTTGCTGAAATTTCACCACCTTTCCTCAGAGGTCTGTCACATTCACTGATTAAGGATGTAAGAGGGAGGAAATATTAAAAGACTGATTCTCTGATTCACTGTGACATGAAGCTCGCATGGAGTAACTTTATACTGTGAATGTGTATGATTGTTCATCAAGCCTTGAAAGGGCAAATGCATAAAGTATATGAGCTTCAATGATTTTGAGTAATCTTGACTAAAATTTTCTATTTTTGGTAATGTCATTTTTAATTTTTTAGCTGGTTTTAACGCTGCTTAAGTCTTGGACTTGCTCAAATGAAATATATACATTCTATATAATTATAATTAATTTTATAATTGTAATTATAAAAATTATTTTAAAAGTTAGCATCCACTCTGTAGTCCTGAAAATTGCATGTGTAGCTTCAGTGACAAAAAGGTTTGCAAGTTTGTTTTATTTTATTAATATTTTAGTGTAACCCCAGAAATAAAAAGAAAAGAAAAAAAAGAAAATGCTAGGTTGCACAATCATCATAGATCTGAGCAGAAAAGTATTTTGTGAGCTGAATTCATTGTGAGAAGTTTATTAGTTCATCAAGTACACAAGGGTCTTACAACTGAAATTGGCTGAAAATTAATGGGACAACATCTTAACTTGACTGTACATCGACTGTCTTTGTTATATCCTTACATTTGTTCATGTAACATATTCCTGCAAGCCTGTTTATATGTTTACACCATTACCTTTGCCATCACAGCAATCTTCTCTTGATAGCTCTACTAAATCTGTAATTCAACTTCCGTCCTATAGCTACATTCCAAGTCAGTTTTGTAAAAGCTCCTGGCCAGAGCCGCAGCACGTAGTTTAGCAGGAAACATTTATTTCCTTTTCTATCAGGGGAAATTACTATAATATGCTAACTTAAAAAGAAAATAAGCATGGTTTTATTTTTGCCACTTTTATTTTTATTTAGGCAGTTGAGCAAGGAAAGGAAATTAGCAATTAGGACATGTTGCATGCTAGACTCAATGCATGTTTCAAATGAGAACTAAGCATTCAGGCACAAGATCAGAATAATTAGCCTTAACTAAGTGAGTTAAACACTGCATTTCAAGATGATGTCTTTCAAATGCATGTTGGTTCAATCTAGCAGAAATAAGTTTCAAATCTTCATGACATTCTAACTTCAAGCCATTAATTAAAGTTTGAAAACAGTTAGGATTAGTTCTGCCAGAACATATATATATATATATATATATATGTGTGTTAACAAATTAAAGGACCATAATTCACAGTGTAATTGCAATGTTATTTTTTTATAATGGCTTTTTGTGTTATTTGCACTTGTAGTAGTTTTGATGATACAGACATGACAAACAACTAAACAGATTTTATTTGCATGTTAATTAGCAAATTTTACCCAGTTATCTTTTTGTCTTAAATTAACCATATACAGCAAAGCTGCTGAACTTTTTTTTTCATCCATTGATTTGTTTCTGAATGAGAAAAACTTTTGCAGTTTAATTTAAGTCCATTAGCTTCTGTGATATTTTGTTTTCATATATTCATTGTCCAGATCAGTTGGGCCCACTGTTACAAATTTCATCCTGCATTTGTAAGATAGGAAAATGCTTGAAAAACAAGACAACTTTTGCTGAATTTGTTGTGAAATCACAGAACTTTTAAATTGTTTTGAAGATGCGAAAAGCAACTTGTGTCAAGATTTGCAGAGTAATTACTCTGTGGAATATAATATGTTGTCTTTTTCCATTAGCTCTGATACAGAGAGCTCATGTAATAATTTTTTATTGGTTTAGGTTGTGGTAAGAATTGAATATATGTCTTCTAGCTGCAGATATAAGATATGTGATACTGACAGAAGAACCAAATAACATTTGTAATGCATGTGTTGCAAGGGTATCTGCAATTAGGAATTCTTCATTTCTTCACCTTTAATAATAATTGCAGAATATACAGTGTGTAGTCAACAGTTAAGAGGCTTTTTTAAACATAAACTTTTAAAAGTCTAAACTTTTACATATTTTACACTATATACAGTATATATATATATATCTACACACTGTATACTGCGAGAGAGAGAGAGAGAGAGAGAGAGAGAGAGAGAGAGATTCATTTTTTAAAGTGTTGAATGTTACATTTGACCTATCTGCTTTCCATTTTTTTATTTTAAAAATATTAAAATTAAAGAATGTTACTTTTACAGTTTTTAATAAGAACTTAATAATTTCTATTTATTTTCCAATTAATTTTACAACTTATCTTTTTCATAACAAAGGATTGTCCCCGATATTGCTGCCATTGCCCAAAACTACATTACACCAAGCATTTTATAGAACAGCTGAGTTTCAATTTGATTATGATGTAAATTAGAGTGACATAGAAGCACATCTCTGCTAGAAGTCATATTTAAAAGATCAGAAGTGCCTTTCATTTTCTAGATTTTTACATCATGATCTGAAAGTAGCTTTATTGGGTGTCATTACTAAACCAATCAGCATTTGCAAATTGTAATTCAGAAACTAACTATGTCTTGTTACTTGTGTAAGATCAAAGGAAACTGAATGCTAACTTATATTAGCAAGTTCAAGTTTTTCTCCAAAAAAGTATAAGAAATGTCATGACTGTTATACATCATTACTATCACACAATATAAAATATTCACACCGTCACACATTATTCAAAAATCCACTTCAAAGATGATCACGGACTTGATAAAATCTTTATTCCAGGACGTGCTTTTTAGTTTTCAAAATTAAGGCAAGGCACATTTATTTCCAGATCACATCTAAAAACACCCAGTGCTGACCAAAGTGCTGTACATAAACCCTGACAAATAAAACAACATATGTGACCCTGGACCACAAAACCAGTCTTTAGTCGATGGGGTATATTTGTAGCAATAGCCAAAAATACATTGTATGGGTCAAAATTATGGATTTTTCTTTTATGCCAAAGATCATTAGGATTTTAAGTAAAGATCATGTTCCATGAAGATATTTTGTAAATTTCCTACCGTAAATGTATATCAAAACCTAATTTTTGATTAGTAATATGCATTGCTAAGGACTTCATTTGGATAACTTTAAAGGCGATTTTCTCAATATTTTAATTTTTTTGCACCCTCAGATTCCAGATATTCAAATAGTCGTATCTCGGCCAAATATTGTCCTATCCTAACAAACCATACATCAATGGAAAGCTTATTTATTCAGCTTTCAGGTGATGTATAAATCTCAATTTTGAAAAATGTACACTTAAGACTGGTTTTGTGGTCCAGGGTCACATATAATAAAATCAACAAGAAAACATGTAAACTAATAAAACTACAATGATTCAAAAGCCAGAGTAAAAAAAGCATGGCCTTTGACACCATTGAACAGTTTGAACAGCTTGAACGGTTAAGTAAGTAGGTAGGAATTTAATACACCACGTTGAACTAGTTTAAATCATATCTTTCTGGTAGAACATTTTTGTTGGAGGTTGTAAATTTTTATTCCTCTACAATACCATTACCTTTTGGTGTACCTCAGGGAACAGTCTTGGACACTCTTTTGTATTCGTTGTATTTGCTCCCTTTAGATTTGACTTTTTCGGAAGCATAATATTCTGTATCATTTTTACATGCATGATACCCAGCCATACCTCCGCTTGAAACATTGAGAAAATTATGACCTGCACTTTTGGGGGGGGGGATCTTCTTGCAGAGGTAAGGTGCTGGTTGCTGGTTCGCAGCTAACTTTTTCAACTGAATTAAACTTAAAAAAAAAAAAATAAAATAAAAAAAATATATATATATATATATATATTTTTTTTTTAGGAATACTACATTTGTATGGCTATAATCTGAGCACTAGCACACAAATATATTTTAAAGCTTGACTCTTATCTGAGTGCTGGATGGGAACTGCTCATAATTAAAAACTCAAATGTGTGGTGCCAAAAGGGACCATGTGGTCTGCTGGGTTTTGTTGTGGATCAGTAATTAATTGATCAATCAAAGTCACTGGTGATATATGAACAGACATTCACTTCAGCAGGTTCCAGGGCTTCTGGGGGAAGAGAGAATTGAAAGATGTTAAGGACATACATTGATGCCTGCAGCTCTCAGAGCAGAAAAGACATTTGTCATCCCAGAATTAATACATCTCAATGGCTGCAATTGTCTCAAGGGCATAAAAGAGGGATATGCTTGAATACAAGATGTGCCGCTGTGCATGAATGATAGGATGTACAGGTAGTTAAGAGAATGTTTTACAGGATAGGCTTCAGGGAACGACATCAGAAAATGTCACAAACCAGATCTTTAAGAAATGATAATATATGTGAGATTTTTTTTCCTTGTTTGTTTTGTTTTGCAGTGATTATGGTTTTGAGAGAAGAGGGGATGGAAACTGTCTGCCTGCATTTTGGTTCAACCTTTCTACGTTGTCTCGAAGCTGTAGCCAAGGGCAAAACTACCTCAACAGCACTGGGTAAGCTGCATGTATATACAGTATGTAGACTCTTCTTCATCATGGTGGGGTTGTACTCTTCTTATGTTGATATTTATTCACTGATGGCTAAATCTGACCTGCAAACATATTTACTTAACAATTTAAAGGAGACTTGTATGAGACATATTTCGTTTTCATTTTTAAGTTTTAGTAATTTAGTTTTTGCCATCTTTATTAGTTTTTTATGTCCATATAGTAATGTTTTTATTGTTATTATTTTAAATGAATAAACCATTTTTAGTTGTTTTAGTACACCAAGTTTAACTAAATTAAAATTAGCTTAGATCTTAAGTTACTATAATAACCCTGCTATTTGGCATTATATATACAGTATATACAGTAT